ATCTCCAGTCTCCAAATCTGAGAGGAATTTCCAAATCTGAAAACGCCTGTCCTCTGACCATACGCTAAACAAACAAGGAATCTATCGTATGCTATTGCTGCAATTTTGTTAATGACACTGCCCTTAAAGATTCAGAATAGTGATCGCTTTTGGAATAGCAACCACCTTTCGCCAAGAAAAAAAGAAATGGTGGTAATTCGAATGCACGCAGAACGCATAACCTTAGAGCGGAACTGCCTTGGGGAAAGGTTCTTCCATAGCCGCACTTTACCTCTTTAACTGTACCAGTTATTTCTTCAAGTTTCTTTTTAATCACTTCTGAGGTCTTCACTGTTTCAGATTCAATGGTTTTCTGCAGAAAAAAAACATGTTGCGTGTAACTATGAGGACAGAAAATACTCAAACACAGTTTAGCACATAGCACACCCCATTAACGTTGTAATTGAGGGCAAAAAGAGCTACGTCTTGGGGAGCACACTGCTTGAGTAACCAGCATTTCATTTTTACAAGCAAAGCTGTTTATAGTTCTTCAAAGAATGAAAAAGAAGCATTTAAATACTGCTGAGGTTAAATTTAATGTCTCATTATTTTATCTGCTCATTATTTGAGAAATTCAGTGAAGGGTCTGCTGGAAAGATTTTCCACTAAAAAAACCCCCCAAAACCCAACCACTCTCAGGCATCCATTTACCAGTCAGTGTTTCCAGCCAAGCAGAACGTCTCATAGAAACAGGCATGCTGACCTAAACCATTCGTTTGCAGGAAGATTCAAATCTACGTTCGGAACAGTAACAGCTCAGCAACTGGGCAACAAACACATCAAAGGAATTCATGAGGAAGACTTACATATTTCCTCCTTGCTTCTCGAAGCGCATCAGATTCTTCTAGCTTTTTTGCTTCATCTCGAAATTTTTTAATACTTTCTTTCATCTCCTTGTTTTTTGCTAATTCCTGTTTGATGTTCTCCACGAAACCCGATATAAAACCTTTTCTTCCTCCAGAAGAGTAGCATCTAGACTAAAGAAAATCATTACACGTTGTAGAATCCAAAGAGATATTAAATTAAATTAAATTTAAAAAGTAGCAATGCCAGCTGCTCGCTTAAGCCAAGCACTGGGTCACTTCTAACGTATTAAATGTTGTGGAAAACATATGGCTACCTTGAAAAAGAACAGTGTACCCTCAAAACAGCCGGATGTCCAATACATTTCTAATGCCCTGTGAAGTATATCTATATAGCCATTAAAAAACTTCCGGAGGAAGTTCAACTCCAGAGGTTAGTTCAGGCTTAAACAATTTGGTAGATGAAGTTACCAGAGCACCAGTCCTGAACTCAGTCACCTGGTCTCAGTTACTACAAAATTCCTTGAGTTCATCAGATATATCTTAAAAAGTGGAAACTTTCAATCTAGAACCAGTGCTTCTCAAAACATATCCACATCTGGTAGACCAGTACTCTAATGGGAATTAAAAAATAAGTCATCTGTTAACCAACCTGATGGATCTCTAAAACAGGCCTGCTCATTCTATACACTGTACCCCTGGGGACTGCAGGAACTGGGTATCTTCTGGATATCAGCCACATGCCACTGATGAGACATTTCTGCAACGAAAACGCGAGATCAGGTCAGCACACAATGCAAGACAACAGCAGTCTTAAAGAGCCAATGAAGAAAGGGAAGAATACTGCAAACAGACAATATTTACGGGTCTAGTGGGAGAGAAACGTCGGAGGCTGGTTGGATAAGTCATCCGTAAAAATTCCATTAAGTGTTTGAGCGGCACTACAGCCACTTACGAGTTCATTTTGATAAAACCAAAGCTGCAGTCCAAAGCAGGGCACTACGCTTTTCACGATCGCTTGAGAAAACGCACGTGCTGCACAAAACCCGGATTTTATGAAAACGGTAATGCACCAGTACATCCATCCTTGAGTTGAAACATCTGTTGGCGATGAGAAGCATATCGGGTTTTCTCGGAAAACTGACTCCAAACGTAACTTTCTCCCAGCTGTGGAGGAAAGCCAGGACCCCTCTGTATATAAGCTTCGTGCTGCCTAAAGTCAGACACAAATATATTTTGCCTCAAGTCACAGAACAGAAAAGATACGCTAGAAGGCCACACACAAAATGATCGCTGAGAAATTCCGCTGCACCGTGCTGAGATCACAAGGTGCAAATTCTTGCATCACATGGCTAACCCTTCAGTCCATCATCCTATATTGAAAGCAGATGATGCACAGCTCGTAGATTCTTTTCTCTACTCCCTTAAAATGGTCCTTCTGTAGTGCACCAGCTCCTCGTTCCCACATTCTGGGAAAAATCTACTTGGTCTGTCCTTGGCCTCCAACCAGGCAAAAGCGGCGCCTTTTACCCCAAACTAACCTCCTGCTCTTGAAGGGCCTCCGTTGCCCACACCACACAACCCAAGCTCTTTCTCTACCAGCCCATCTCTCAAACTGCTCATCCTAAAAAAAAATTAACAAACCCACAAAGCCAAACATGGACAAACCAAATGGGCTTTGCAATTAAAAGACTTTAGAAAACGACCTGGAAGCCGAGAATATTTAAATCTGCGTCCAAGCTAACAATAACACGTCCACCTCTTTATCGGGCTCAGAGATGTTGAAATGGGTTTGTAAAGAGCCGCGATCTCTGGTCCTGCGGCTTCAGCGACAGCACCGCCAACTGCCACAAGCTAAATCCAGACTTTACATCTGAGATTAACGGCGCAATCGTCCCGCATACGTGCTGGCCCAAAGACATGCGTTACGTTAACTCACTGGTTTTCACGTTTCTAATAAGTCACATCTTTTAAATTCAGCTCCCTCTTATTTATTGCCTTTGTAGTCATACCTAAGTCAGGCTGCTGAACTTTATAGTGTCAAGTTTATATCAAGGAAGGAAACGCTCTCCACAGCCGGTATTCGAACCTCGCTGCCCAAGTCATCGCTGAGGCCAGGCTTCGTAGCAAGCGAGAATAAACGAGATATTACATGTGTACCTCAAAAATCTGTATGAACTATAAGAACAGCATTACAACGCAGGGCAGACTGCCTGCTGGATTTAACGGACTGCAGTTCTTGACCAGAGGGTGCATTTCTTCCATGCTACTGAGCAGAAATGTTTAACCCCATGGTTAGGCTTGGGCACAAAAGATCAACCACCTTCAAAGCATGTCACACTACAAAGTGGCTTTTAAAGCCAGAATCTTTGCATTCGATTCACACACCCGTTCACCTGCCCAACACATGGGAAAAGCTCACGTTTAAATTAAAACCTTGGCAGAGGCCAGCGGCCGAGCAGCTCAGCAGCACGGACGGCTCCGTGAACCCCTCTGGATGCTCCAAGACCGACCTGGGCTAAACTGGCCGGGGCTGTCCCCAGCTGAGCTCCGTGGCCAAGCAAGTAGGGACACTGCGGGGGGGGGGACACTGCTGGGGGACGAC